TGGTTTTGTTGGATGTAGAAGTGGATACATTTTTCCCTGGAATGTGTGGGACGAATGCATTATAATTCAATGCATTAAGAAATCGAAAAAAAAGTCTTTCGGTTTTATAAAGTCATTTTGACTTTATAAAACCGAAAAACCGGGATTTTTTTTTATTGAAAATGATATTCAGTATATTTTCTTCTGCCATCTTTCAAGCATATTTCACTACTCCCAGAATTTCTTTTTTATTATTTTAACCAACAAACCGATTTAGATGTCGTTTACGGTCCTTCAGGTATTTTCTTTTCATTAAGAGAATTCTGTAATGACTGGAATAAAAAAGATGCAATTTGTGTTGAATGCGACGAAAAAGGTAAAAATTAATTCCTAACTGATCAGCAAAGAAACATGCAGTTTAGCGTTATTCTTATAGAAATTGACACCATTTTTCAGTATTGACAAGAATTCAGACATAATAAATGAAATTTAAAACAGTGGCGATATACCAGAAGACCTAAGTAGATCCATATTCATAGTACTGCCTAAAAAGCCAGGAGCAAATGAATGAGAACTCCATCGGACAATCAGCCAAATGAGCCATGTAACAAAATTCATCAACCGAATCTTGAATAGAATGGTGTGTAAGACAAGGAGACATCTTCCCACCATATCTTATTCAACCGTAACAGTCATACCAGGATTCATTATTGGCGAACACAATCTTAACGGCATGAGATATGAAGATGATACAGTGTTGATAGCAGACAGAGAAAGGAAAATACAAGAACTTCTACAGAAGATATTGAAGGAAAGCGAGAAGGGCTAAACATCAATTGCAAGAAAACTGACCGCATGGTTGTTATCAAAAGGAACAATCCAACGTGCAGATTACAGATTGGAGATTCCGAAATCAAGCAAGCGTAATAATTTAGTATTGTGAGACCGGAACTACCTACACAATAGACTCTTCCAGGTCTATATTAAGTATGCGACACAACACTCTAGTCAGAGTGACAGAGAGTGACAGAGAGCTAGAGAGACAGTGAGAGCCGCGTACGACTACCAGTATTGGACACTAACATATAGTAAGCTCCGCTTACACTATCTCTGTAACCTGTTGTTAATATATCTTTCTTACATCTAATCCGTGTTCCGTGTTTTCCTTCTGTGGTCCCAACTTTGGCCCCACATCATTTAGATATCTGGGAAGCGTATTAATAGTGGATAGAAATTGCGACACAGTGCATTGGGATAGCGAAAGATGTCTTCCAAAAGCTGAGGCAAATATTAACAAACAGAAAAAATATCGTTAGAAACAAAGAAAAAAGTTCTGAAATGTTATGTAGTATCCATCCTCCTACATGGTAGTGATGCTGAACAATCTCCTCACAGATGAACAAGAAACTCGAAGCAAAATAAATCTGGTTCTACAGAAAGATGCTGAGAATACTCTAGGCTGAACATGTGGGCAACAACGAAGTTCCAGAGACAATAGCAACATAAAGGACATTTTACTTAACACAAGGAAGAAGTGTTAACCAAGACGAAAATTGTGGTTTCACTTGGAGAAGGTACAAAAGCATCGATACCGGCTTTCGCCAAAGATTAAACCTCTGTGAATCAAGAGAAAGGTAAAGAATTTCAATTGAGCGAGTCATCTCAAAGAAAGTCCAAAATTGAATCGCAATCCGTACGCTGGGAGCTGAAAGATACATTTCTAATAGACGACGCAAAGGAAAACTACTGTGTGAACCAAATTAGCAAGAGAACAGAGATGTGATGCTCATCAAGAGCTAGGAGAGACAGTAAAGAACAAATAGAATAAAGTAGCATTTTAATCAGATTTATTAGAAAAACGGGTAGAGAAATCCAGTATATGATTAAGATTCTGAGCAACGGAAAAATTCAGCCTGAAGACCGGCTTACATCAGTTAACTTTAGAATGTTTAAGCCACTTGACGTAATGAGCATTAAAAAACACCAAACACAAAAAATTTCGCATATAGACATAGAAAGAGTGCAATTTCTATAGTGTCAGAAATTTTGTCTAACATATTACAGTCATGAGAAGAAGGAGAGATAGGCTAAAAAGAGATAACTAAAAGAGTATTTACTCAATACATCACAAAAGTTTTTTTTCGCACAGATTTAAGTTCACTCGCCGTTTGGTTCACTCATCAGATTTTCCGGAAAAGATTTTGTTGCATCGGCCGCAACCCGTGGATAATTCTGTAAAATAAATTTAGGGTTAGCGAAGGAAAATAGGGTTATCTAGTGCATAATAAGAAATTAGGAAAAAATAATAGATAGCGAAAAATATGAAGTTGCAGGTTTAAGAAAGAAAAACAAGTGAGTGTGTTTTGGCTAACTTGGTAAACAGAAAAATGTACATTTTCAGACTCGCCTCACACACACACACACACACACATATATATATATATATATGTGTGTGAATTTTGGGTCAAATACGACAATGATAAGATAAAGAACAAATAGAAAATGTTAAATATTGAAAAACCGTAAATATTGCTTTATGTATGTAAGTGTTAAATGTAGCCGTCTCTTCTACTCCAATAGCTTCATGTCTCGTACTTCTCGCCTGTGGAACTCCCTTCCCTTTTCCTGTTTCCCTGATAGCTATAATCTCCAACTATTCAAATGTAATGTCAATCGACGTCTCCAGATGCCTTGATCTGTCTCCTATCCTTCTCTTCATGCTTTCCTCTATCACTCCTCTTTGCTCTCGTGTATATGTGCGTGTGCATGTGTGTGTCTGGGAGAGAGAGAGAGAGAGAGAGAGAGAGAGATAAACGAATAATATTATTAGTACTATTATCATATGGCACATAATCATCAATTTCTCAAGCAATTTTCCACTATGCAGCTTACTGGATTTCAGAAACTATTTTCCCACTATCTTTGAATATTTTTATATTTAGCATCTTCTTCCAATTATCTCGCGTTGATTTATGGCTTTACAACTTAGAAGGACATTTGATAAGAAAACAATTTACTTTTATACAAATTAAGAGTTTGTGCTATGCGAAATTGTGTAGATTAAGTCAATTCTTCATACATTTACAAGTTTTGTTTTTTTCTAAACTAAAACCTTTATATTAATTTTAGTTAAGTCGTTCTAGTATTATTAGTATAAATAGTTGTTTTTGAAAGTTCTTTATAACGTTTGTAGAAATGAAGTTAATGGCATATATTTTCAATGTAATCTTTTAACTTTTCTCTAAGCAAAGAAATGATGTGGTAATTGATATGAAAACAGACCATAATAAATATCGAGTTGGAAGAAAATTTCGTGGCGTTTTAAGCGAATTTCGAATACAATATTCAAATAATTGTACATAGATTTATTCAAACTCATATTTGCCATTTTGTTCCACTACTGTTCGGCATGATTGAGGCGGCTTCATGATTCCATCCTCCCAGAACTGAATTTTTTTAAGTGAATTTGACAACTTTCAAGAGAATTGAAGTATTTCACATTAAGAGAATTTGAGCCAATTCCGATTGGCAAATTCCTGATGCTTTTCATCGATTGCTGTCTTCAAATTGTCCGGTTGAAAACAATACTTGTTTGAATTCCACGTTTATTTTTTTCGGAAAGAACTTGCAATACACAATCCCCTTACAACGACAACAGATACATAGTATCACCTTCTTCGGATGCAGACTAGCATTTGGAGTGGCTAACGATGGCTCAATTTGTTTTCCCCATGATTTTTATTTATTTATTTTTTTTTGCAACACACTGTTGTAAAGAATCCATTTTTCATTGCCTGATATTGTTCTTTTCAAAAAGGGGTTATTTTTGCGCTTGAAAAGAGGAACGTAGAGGGAAATACGATCCATGGCATTATTGCGTTAAATCATGAAGGTACCGATCATCGTAGCAGCTCACCTATTCAAGTGTTTTCAGATGTCTTAGAACATTCATATGAGATATATGGCGTAACTCTTTTTTGTTCCTTGTTGTGTGGACCGAATTATTTTAAATCAGCGTTTCGTTATGGTCCTCATAGATGACTGGAGGTCTACAGGAACGTTCTCGTTCTTACAGATCAATATTTACACATCGGAAACCAACGAACCGCTTATGGAACGGTACTGTCAGCTATAGCACCATTTCTATCGATGATACCATATATTTTTGTCGTTTGTACTGCGTTTTTCCTTTCCGAAAATAAAAAAAAACAAACACCGAAAGAAAAAAAAAAGAAAAGTATTTCATTTTCCTTTAATTTCACCTTTCATGTAAAAATATTTAAAATTTACAATCCACACACGTCACCTTTCAGAATATATAAATTTCAATCCCGTGTTCAAGATCTACCCAATGTAGAACGCTACGGACCTTTTTTTTTTCAGTCAAGTAGAACTAGTATCACTGATTTTTCCATCATGTTTAGCATATACTGAAATTTATTGTGTTATAAAATGTTTAAGAAAGTTTATCGGTTCGTTACGTCGTTAATGTATATTTGTGTGCGTATTTGTAATTCATGTCTTTATGACTTTTGATGTCCTGATCTGAGAGAACTATCATGTAATGATATTGCCTACTCCTTCGTTCCGGGTCCCCGGAACGTCAATCTGTTTTTTATACATACAAACACGCATGCGCCTTGATCAATAAATATACGCCATGACAGTCCCTTATTCATAACTACACACGTGTTCGAGTTATTATTTTTATCAATACACATCCATGCACTACACGGCATGACATGGTGGCAGCGAGACTGGATAATACACTAAACAACCCTACGTAATCACAGCACCAAAATAAAACAGTGAGTACAAACTGCAGTACATTATTTTCTTTCATCGTCCACGCTACACAAATTCTCGCTCGCTCACGCCACGCCGGGTTCACAACATAACCGCTACTAACAGGCAGATATCATGGCTACAGTGTCAATACAAGTGCCTAGTCTTGACTGGGGGTCGCCAAACATCGCCGAATCGTTCAAACTATTTCGACAACGCATGGAGCTTTACTTCACATGACAGACGACGACCGCAAGGACCCACAAAAAATATTCTCTGCCTTCATGGAGCAGCTCGAACCGGCAACCAACCACCGCGTTTGTAGACTCGAACTCAGCAAATACCAACAAAAGCCAACTGAAACAACGGACATCTTCGTTAACAGATGCCGACTGCTAGCAAAGAAATGCGACTTCACTGCCGACGAAGTAAACGAACGCCTCGTTGAGTTACTAATTGCCAGCACGCCCATACCCGAACTACAAAAGGAACTATTGAACAAACCAAAGGGTTACAAAATCGAAGAGGCTGTTAAATTAGCCCGTTCACATGAAGCATCAGCAATATATGTCAACCAACTCCAGCAGCTACAGGGACCACCACAGATAGCCACAATAAACCGTGGTACACACCAACAGCAAGGGTGTGACAGAAAATACGGACAGGTTTGCAAAAATTGTGGACGCAACCACCGTTTTGGCAAAGAACACTGCCGTGCCAAGAACGACACATGCAACACATGTGGCAAAGTAGGCCACTGGGCTACAGTCTGCATCTCAGGGAAACATAAGACCAAGAGACGACAAGGGAAAACCTGGTCTAATTGTCGTAACCAGTCAAGACACCCACAACAGGAGTTTGGCAGGAAAGTCAACAGCGTCGCCAAACAAAACGACCAAGCCATGACCGACATAGACACAGCGATGGAAAACCTCACCTTTAGCTCCATCGAAACCAACAGTGGGAAATCATCAAATATGAAAGGCCCTCGAAATGAGGCATTTGTTGATTTAAGCATTAAGTTGGTGGACCACCCAGGCACTCATACTTTCAACCTGAAGGTAGATACAGGGGCACAAGCAAACACACTGCCTATCCGCATATTCCGCAAGATGTACCCCACCAGTATAGACAAGGCTGGAAATCCAATACCCGGATCACTAACCTCAACACAATGCCTACTAACAGCCTACAACAACACAAAGATAAACTGTTATGGCACCACAAATATTAGGTGCAAATACAAGAACTCTCCATGGATGGATACCCAATTCTACGTGGTTGATGTTCCAGGAGCAGCCATATTGGGCCTGCCAACATCAGTATCACTTAAAGTAGTGACAATGAACTGTGCTATATCAGTCCAGCAACAACCCATCAACAGTGTAGCTGACCTAATGCGCCTCTACCCTGACAGATTCGACCGTATTGGTGAATTTCGAGGACTCACAAGCTTGTTGTTAACCCCAATGTGCCATGCCACATAGACCCACCGAGAAGGACACCTATAGCCATGCGCGAAAAAATCAAAGCTGAGCTTGACAAGATGGAATCACAAGGAGTCATTCGCCGTATTGAAGAACCTACAAACTGGGTAAGCTCTCTTACATATGTCACCAAACGTGACAATACAATAAGAGTTTGCCTAGACCCACGAGCACTAAACAAAGCTCTCATACGGCCATACCACCAAATTCCGTCTGTCGAAGAGCTCAACCATCGATTTGCAGGAGCAAAATTCTTCTCAAAATTGGATGCTAAGTCTGGATACTGGTCCATAAAGCTCGATCGTGAAAGCCAGCCACTAACAACTTTCCAAACGCCATTTGGGAGGTACTGTTTTGAACGACTTCCGTTTGGTCTGAGTGTCAGTCAGGATATTTACCAACTTGAGATGGACAGGATACTCGAGAAGTGCACTGGAGCCTGTGGTATAGCTGACGATATCACCATATATGGGTCAACAGAACATGAACACGACAAAAACTTAAAGCGCTTTATGGAGGTCGCTACTCAAGAGGGCCTTACTCTCAACTCAGAGAAATGCAAGATTAAACGCCGAGAAATCTCCTTCTTTGGAAACCTGTATACACATACCGGATTGAAACCTGACCCAACAAAAAGTACGTGACCTACAGGAGATGTCAGAACCACGTAACAAAACAGAATTACAACAGTTTTTTTAGGTGTGATGACATACCTATCTCGCTTCATCAAGGACTTCAGCTCCAAAACTACTGTGTTGCGTGACCTGTTACACAAGGACTCTGATTTTCAATGGGAACCACATCACCAGAAAGTTTTCAAAGATCTAAAGAGCGAAGTATCTGAAACATCTCTGCTCCACTATTTTTGACCCCAAACTCCAAATTTACATGCACTGTGATGCAGTATACAGGGAATAGGTGCAGCTCTGCTACAACCAGATGCAGATGGCAATCTATCGCCTGTTACATATGCTAGCAAGAGCTTAACACAAACGGAACAAAGATACGCATGTATCGAGCGTGAGCTACTGGCCATCGTATTTGGCACACAGAGATTCCACACATATCTTTATGGCCACAATTTCCAAGTCATCACCGACCATAAACCCCTTACAATGATTATCGACAAACCGCTCACCTCAGCCCCGGCACGCCTGCAACGGATGCTTATACAACTCCAGGGATACAACTTCAGGATCACCTACAACAAGGGATCTGACAACATCTTGGCTGACGGACTATCACGCTTACCATCACCCCAATAATTCAGACCCTATCGAGCTTGATGTCCGGGTTGATACTGTCCGTTTCTCTAGTGATCGTATTGAACAACTGAGAAACTGCACAACAGCAGATCCTTTGCTCAACCAGCTGAGAGAGACCATCATCACTGGATGGCCAGAGACAATCAAGCAGCTGCCCACTGACATCAGAGTGTTCTGGGGTCTAAGAGACCAGCTCTCAATCGATGATGGCCTTATCCTCAAAGGACAACAAATCGTCATTCCCCAGACACTTCAAGAAGACATCCTAAAGCAGCTTCATACAGCTCACTTAGGACAGGAGAAAACAAAACTCCTCGCCAAGGACACTGTCTACTGGGTAAACATAAACAGAGACATCGAGCAGTTCACAAAGTCATGCAGCATCTGCCAACAGCATCAGCCACCCCAAATGCAAGAGCCCCTTATGCAACATGACATCCCAACAAAGCCATGGGACATAGTTGGCACAGACCTGTTTGATCTCTATGGAAGTCAATGGCTGATCATAGCCGACTATTACTCCAAGTACCCTGTAGTCAAACACCTACCTGCTCACTCACCAAGCAGTGTTATAGTAAACACCACACGCCAAGTCTTTGCAGAGTTTGGCATACCATCAAAGGTAGTCAGTGACAATGGGCCACACTTCTCAAGTCACCTCTACCGTGAATTCGCCAAAGAATGGGGTTTCCACCATGAGACCACTTCACCTCGGAGACCACAGGGAAATGGTTTCATAGAACGGCAGATAAGAACTGTCAAGAACATCCTCAAAAAAGCCAAGCAGTCGGGAACAACGCCTGAAATTGTGCTGCTGCACTGGCGCTGTACTCCAATTTCAAGCGTCATGCCAAGTCCTGCACAACTACTCATGGGTAGACGAATCCAATCTCCACTGATTACCAAAATCAGAAACGATCACCAAGATCAGGATCAAATATATAGTGCCATTCAACAACGTCAAGAAAACCAAAAGAGGTACTTCGACCGACATGCACTCAAGGAGGAACTACCACCCCTGTACCGTGGCCAAAGGGTAAGGGTACAAAACCCTATGTCTGGAAGCTGGGACCCAGCGACTGTAGTATCCCAGGCAGACGGTCACCGCTCCTATCTCCTGGAGAATGTCAATGGGTATGTGCTGCGAAGAAACCGGCAACACATAAGAAGCATCCCAGTGGCGCCTGACTCACAACTGTCGCAAGACGTCTCGAAAACAGCCTCACAGAAATGTGTGACTTTTGTGGATCCACCCATGTGTGCGATCCCAACCATGCCAAATAACCCTCAAAAGCGTACCCGTAGTGGTAGGATGGTGCGACCACCATCAAAGATGAACTTATGATGAACACATTCTCATAACCCCACAGCAAGCACTTAATGGGGAAGAATAATCCCCTGCTATGCTGTAGCTGTCCAGGTAGTCTACCCTGAACGAGCCTTTCTGTTTATTTATGTTTGTTTTTTATTTCAGAGACCCAGTATTACTATCCTTGTTTCGGAGAAAGGGGATGTAATGATATTGTTTACTCCTTCGTTCCGGGTCCCCGAACGTCAATCTGTTTTTATACATACAAACACGCATGCGCCTTGATCAATAAATATACGCCATGACAGTCCCTTATTCATAACTACACACGTGTTCGAGTTATTATTTTTATCAATACACATCCATGCACTACACGGCATGACATATCAGACCTATTCAAAGAGGAATACAAATGTCAGTGACTAACTCTGAAGGACATCTTTTTATCTGTTGCTAACTTGGATGAGCCACTCACTTTAGAATGGGTTCGCGTTCAAAATCACGTTTAGCATTGGCGTCTTTTGATTAGCTAGAGTAAAAAATAATGCGTTCTACAATTTAAGCGATAAATTTGGTTTGGTTTTTGATACTCCAATCCCCAGGAATTAAGCTGTTAAACAAAAGTAAATTTTTCATTTGACGTCTGGGGAATAAATATTCTTGTTACAGAATTATCACAATCTGAGTCTACGGGTTCTTTATTTTTTTCCAGTCAAGACATTGAAAGTTGAAAAATAGTGAAGAAGAATATTGCCTTTTGTGAAATTCTTGAATTAATTTTCAATAATTCTAGTTTTATTCATGAAGTTTATGAATTCATGAATGCATAGCTGCTTTTAAAAACTGTAAATAATATAATGTCTTTTCTTAAATGATATTACTTATTTTCTATTTTATTCCAAAGTTATAACGAAATATATTCATTTTCCAGTGGACACTACTCGTACGATTCACATGCGTTATGTTGTAGTTGTCTCCCTTATTCATAACTTCGACTTTTGTATCAAACCATTTAGCAGCCTTTAGATATCCATTTTTACGCAGAGTTAGGTGATTGACACATGAGTTTATGCGCGTAGGAAAGTAATCCTAATGTAAAGCCGCCGTGCCTAGGGTTATGCTTTCAAGTAAACGATGGCTTGCATTGCTTTGAAAATCAGCATCCAAGATTGACCTCGCTTCGAACATCAATTACTGGCGCCGGAAACAAAATACTTCTATCACCAAAAAGAGTAATACCATAAGTAGCTGAGTCTGACAAACGGAGATAAGTGTTGGGCATCTAGTAACGGTGGAACTTGTAGGAGAAAAACACAATTTACAAATAGAAATAACAAATTAAAGCCAAATTTATACAATTATTAGAAAATATATAACTCTAACTACACACTAATTTTCGTCTAGCTAAATCACAGGGACCTCCACTTTTTCGGCATAAATTTTCGATACCTAAGTTTAAAATGAATTTTTTAAAATGAAAGAACATGCTTGAAGATTTCATCTTAGCTTTAATTGAAAGTTTAATCATTAAATTTATTATTTCCATTAAGTAAACAATTCTGGTGTATTTCAGATAGAAACTATATACATTGGAATGTCAAATTTAATTTTGGAATTTTAAATTTTCTTAAAAACGGCCATTTTCTTAATTTTAAGAAATTTGTAAACAAACACAAATTTATCGATTTTAAAAATATTTAAAAAATTTCTCACTCACACGTCGCACTCTACTCAAAATAAATTTTAAAACAAACACAAATATACCAAAGTGTTGGCCATTATCGACGCGACTGTCGTTTGTCACAAAATGTAAAATGTACATGTCTATCTTTCCCTCCTCCAAATTAAGGATTAAATAATAGGATTAAATAATAGGATTAAATAGAAGGACAATTTTGAATTTAAAACCGATTGGGCTTTCATTGATACTTCTCTTGCCATGTTCTATCTTTACAAGAGCCAGATCAGGTCAAAAATTGAGAATTGCTATTATATCTGGCCTGACATTGCCCAGTCTTCACTTTCTAGCCTTGACAGAGTTCAAAAGCGCTAACGATAACAACAATAAGACTTTGAACCATGCTAACATTAATGATAGGAATGTGTATTTTTTTTTCGTGATGTAAATTACAGATGTTGGTATTGTATGTGTTAAAAATTGTCTCTTTTATTGCTTTAAAAGTTTGTGCTTACTTGTTTTTGCTTTTTCCGAGAATTTCGTGGTTAAGGGTAGCATTTGAAACCGTCAACAGTAGATTTTTACGGAGTGAAGAAGATACGTCAGTCTTGTTCTTTTTACTATTGCTCTGCTTGTGATGGAAAGGTCGTTTTTATAATGATGAAGTTTCAGCTTTTTAGAATGATAAAATATTTGATCTTTATTTCCAGAATGATGGAATATCCTTATCATCAATCATCACTGGCGGAAAGGTTGTTTTGAGAATTATGAAATATCATCATCATTCTGGATCATAAGAGTTCCACCATTTCAGATCTCCACGGCTAAGACCTGCCCTGATACATCCTCGTTCATTTCGTATTCTATTAGTAAGAAAGTAGTTCCATTCAGACTGCTTCTTCCTCAGAAGTGTTACTTTGTGGAACAGACTCGTTTAATTTTATGAAATTTTCAAGACATCTTTTTTACCTCTTAAATTTCACATCAGTTATAAGCAGATGTCCTCTGAGAATTCAAATCATCAATTTTTTGGTCAAACAGGACCACCAGTTACAGAAGGTCTACTCTGAATTTTAAAATAAAAATGCAATGAAACTAGCACATTTTAAATAGAAAGTATTTTATGAATATTATAGGCACTATTGTCTTAAGAATAGAAATTGATGAAAACCTATGAATAATGAATTTTTACAGGAATTGTTTTTATTTTTTTTTAAATTTTAATTAGAATAGATTGTAAACTTTTAAATTTTTTCAAATTCTGTATTAATTTTTAGCGGCCAAGTGATATTGTTATCAATTTGTAATTATATTTGACAATCATAAAAGATGAATTTCTCGAAATTTCATAAAATTAAATGAGCGTGGTGTGCGATAAATGTAAAAAAAAAAAATCATTTTTTCAATGATTTTCTAGAAAACAAATATTTTTAAAAATAATTGAATTCATTTTTGAATGAGGTTTGAAGGTTTCATTAAAATTCGAAAATTATATCATTTTTGCAAGAATTTCAAAATCAATTAGTTTTTCACCACAAAAAGATTCTCAAATTCCTCGTACAAATTATGGCCCTGTGTTATCCAAAATTTCCAAGGTTCTAAAAAGAACAGAAAAATAATTTTAAGAGAAAATTTTTTAAAAAATCCTTTGATCTTTTTTTCTTTTTTTTTTAATAATGACACAAATATTTCAAGGATAAACTATTGTTTTAACTAAGTATGTTTTTTCATGCATTTTTTCATCAGGTATCCTCTTTTTAGATAATTTTTGGAGGTACCTAATTAAAAGCAACATGTTTTATACGTAAAAAAGCACCGACAATTTGCCAATAATTCTGATTATGGCAACATAAATGTCCTGTTAATCAAACACATTTACTTGAATTAGAATATAAATGTTTCGATGGTGAAAATAGTAGCACAAAATGCTCGCAAACACATACAAACGCGCGCAGACACAAGTACATATTCATTTTTCATTAAGCGTGATGCCCCTTGAATTTGTTGTGAGTTGCTTCCCCTGTATCGTAAATTGATGACACGGACCTACCTATGTGAATATTTCTAGTTGTTCGTAAATACTTTTGTGGTGCTGATTTTGAACCTTCTCCTATCAGTTTCGTAATATTGAAATCTCCTGTATTGCGTACAATTGTGTTTTTAAAATATTTGAGTAATTAAATATAGATCAGAATTTTTTACCTGATTTAATTGAATCGTCTCTGGGTATGCCTGGTAAACTCATAAAACATTCATTATGATTCATTAGTGTTTTTCAGCAAGTATTCAAAACCTCATTCAAACAATGTTTTTTGTAATAAACGTTTATTCTATCAAATCTCTAAGATATCATAACTGATAATTATTGGGTGTTTTAACATTAAAATTTGAGTTTTAATTCTATTTCTCGGGATTTTCAGATGGAAATAACAGATTCTTAATATATATATATAGCTTCTGAGCGAAGGAAGTATTTGTTTTTGAATGATACCGATCCCTTGTCTTTTATTTATGGTTTGTATACTTTGCGAAAACAACGGATAAACATTACTAATATGGCGAAAAAGTTATATTTTTCGTACTTTAATTTGACATTAAGAGACCAGGAGAACAATTGTGCTCCTCTTATAGTTTGTGAAACATGCTTAGCAAATTTGAGAAAATGGACAAATGGAAGAAAGAATGATTGGCATTTAGAATACCGATGCTTTTGAGAGAACCTAAAGATTACTATTTTTGTTTTAAGGGTTTACAGCCACAATATGTTGAAACAGATTCCCGTACAGTCACTGAAGTTAAACAACCTTGATGGGTGACCGATTGGGAATAACCAGGTGCTGTAGGTTTGGGTGTGCAAGTGGTGTAATGGATAATGGCTCGGGAGACTCTGAGTTCCAATTCCAGTTGAATTCGTTATATTTACTTATGTAATAATCTCGCGATCATTGTGTTGTAATCTCACGATCACGAGAAATAAAAAAAAAAACTAATTTCCCATGATTTCCTAGTAAAAGAGATAAAACACCCTACTGGAGAAAAATGTAGAATCTGGTGTCTTTTTCAACAACCTCTCACCATGAAAGCATGTGAAAAATGGAATGAAAAGTAAAGATAAATTTTACTCAAATATTACTTTCTCATAATGAATATGACCTTTTAATAATAGATTTATCACAACAAAATAATTCACTCATTCAACAAGACAACCCAAAAACCGAAAATATACCGGGCACATATTCATTTTGCTGATAAAGCTCGAACATGTAAGCCGACGAAAAATAAAAATGTAGGAATATTACCAAATTCACGACCACAACCACCAGCTAACAGTGACTCGGAAAAATATTCGGGCGAACTT